GCGGGCCCTAGATGATGACGTGGCTTTATGAGATCGCAGCAAAATCTGCTAATGAGGTTCTCCGTGTAGGAGATAGGACATTGGAGGTGCAAACTAGCCAACTGCTTACATAGAACACATAATAGATAGTTTGTTGTTAGAGTACGCTAGAACCTGCTCCTTCGATGATGTGTTTACTATGGACTAAAATGGATTAACCTCTTTATGATACACAAACCCAAATACAATTGGTGGTTTTTGTTTCGTAAGTTCCATCCAGTAAAATTTATTGATAGTTACATATAACCCAAAAGTTACCTTCTGATGCAGCTTGTCTGCATTGGAATCTCTGATGTGAAGAACCAGCTTTGTCTTATAGTTCCTGTGAACTGCGTAGAAATCTTCCATGGCCATCAAAATACTGGTTCGTGCCATCTTACCCACCAATGACTGCAAGTTGAGGATCACTCCAACATTGAGTGTTGCTGCTCCACTTATTGGAGCTCTACGAGCAAAACTGAGGATAACGAACACCACAAAGAAGGTGGTTCTAGCTGCTAACTCCATCCCCTTGAGTTGTGTAAGTTTTGGAGAATGTGTGTGTGCCAAAGCAGTCTTATATAGAAAATCTTATAGGTCTGGATTTTTTTTGCTTTGACTTGGTCCAGTTACATTTCAGTTCTGTAAGCTCTGAAATAAAATTTAAAACTCTTCCATATCTCTTTTTCTTGTGAAAGGCCGGTGCTAACCTTTAAATTAAATATATAACATCGGATGTACCTGCATGCTGAAGCCGGTGGCAGTGGAGATTCAAGGAAATTCCTGGCGAATAAACCAAGAATGATCTGGACAGCTGTAAGCTCTGAATTAACATTTTATATCCTTCCATCATTTCTTCTTTTTCCTTGTGAAAGAGTTAACATTATTCTATTTATAAATTTAGAATTCAACGGGTCTGAATACCTGCATGGGGAAGTTGATAGCTGCGCAGAGATTCAAGGAAATTCCTGGTGACAACTGAGGATGATATGGACAGGTTCCCTGGTCAAGCCAATCTTTGGCCCTTAAGTGAATATAATTGCGAGGAGAAAGGTCAAAAGGAACTCACTGCTGGCAGTCCTGCGAGTCGAAGCATGAGATCGCCGGCTAGAAGCAATCAAGACAGTGTTGACAATGAGCAGTCAAGTCAGTGGGGGGCTTAGCTTTCTTGTGAGGGAATTAAAGTATCATGATGAGTGACGAGTGACCTCGAGGGAATACGTTAGAATCTGATCGGTGATTGTTGACTTTTGAAATATGTGCTGCATAACAGTTTTTTTCTTTAATTTATGCTTCTGGTAGTTGCGGCAAATAGATTTTCTGACGGTAGCACTCGAAATTGTTAGAGAAAAATATTCAGAATGGCAACGGTGATCTGTAGTCGCAATTCATCTGACTTCTCATCTACATGCATGTACCCCATGCATGCGTACTCAAAGGTAAATGCCCCTGAGAAATTTAAATATTTGTCATCCTTGCCAGAGACACGGCCAGTTGCCAACTTTAGTTTGGTAATTACACATTTGCCACATGAACTGTGCCAGCGTGGAGAAGACGTGCAAAATGACCGTCTTGCCCCTGTCTCTTTATCCTCTCGTCCTCTCTGTCACGTGGCCCCCCACCTGTTAGGCCCATCCCCAACCTCCAGCCGGCCTTGCCGGTCTCTGTTTCCGAAGGACTTCTACCTTTGTTCATGCGTCGTCCCGGCCACCCCAGCCGCACCCCTTCCTCAGCGCACACGCCACCTCGGACCCGCGCTGTCACCTCCCCGTGGGCTGCGACCCGTCCGCGACTTCTCTTCCCCTTCCTCCCGTCGCGACACCGTCGCCGCCCCGCCGTCGAGCCCTCTTCTCGGCGCGGCCAGCCCCAGGCGGCGGGGAGGAGCTGGGCCCCTCGACAGCAGCCATGGTGGATAGAGCTGGGCGAAGCTTGGGCAGATGAGGAAGAGAACGAGCTGCCACCAGATCGACGCCCGCTGCCACCAGATCGACGGAGATGGAGGAGGAGCTTGCCGCCGCTGCCACACTGTCCTGGCACCACACTGGCCGGCCACGCGCGCCTGTGATTCCGCCGCGCCGCGCTGGACTGGCCCTGTGAACCCCGGCCACGCGCGCGCCCGCCTTGTGCCAGGCCGGCTTCGTCGTCACCATGGACGGAAGGTGAGAGCCGGCGGGAGGTAGATGATGACAAGCGGGGTCCACATGGAAGTGAGACAGCGAGAGAGGAGATGGGCTGAAAGAGATCAGGCAAGGGCACAAGCGCCACTTCCCACGGTCCGTACACGCTGGCGGGGTGAGTTGGCTTGCCACGTCATTCAAAGTGGAAAATATATAGCACTACAAATGTGTAATTGCAAAACTAAAGTTGGCAACTGGCCAAGTGCCTCCGGCAACGCTGGTAAATATTCAAATTTCCCAATGCTCCATGTTCATACGCCGCGCGCCACACTTCACCTCACCACTTTTCGCCTGTGCTGCGCTCCCGCTTACGATGTGCGCCTCGCCTGCGACAATCGCTCCTTTCCGTCGCGCGCCCCGCCCATCACGCGCCCGATCTGTGCGGATTATACCCCCCACATCGTGCAGCCCACCCACCACGGCCATCTCGCCCCCCCCCGCTTTCTTCCCATCTCTCGCTCTATCTCGTGCTCGACACAGCAGTGAGCACCTCCCCCGCCTCTTCTCCAACCCCAAAAGCCGTCGGGATGCCTCGCCACAGCTGCCCCTGTTGATGGCCGCTGGGCGCATGTGCCAAGGCACCTCGGCGTTGTCAGGATGCCTCGCGCGCAGCCACCCCTGTGGATGGCCGCTGGGCGCACGTGTCAGGGCACCTCGGGTTGTCCACGGCTGAGCCTAGGGCACCCACGAGCGTGGCCAGATGCTGGTGATAGCTGCGCGCCGCCGGCTCCCACCCCGACTGCCGGAATAGAACGGCCCAGGGCACCCTCCCCTATGTTACAAATACATATTTCAAATGTTTCAAACGTTTCAGAGGTATGTTGCATTATTTCATATGGATGTTGCAAAAGTAGATCAGGGATGTTTGCACATGTTGCATATGTTGCAAGTGTTTCAGAGGCATGTTGCAAGCGTTTGTTCAAAATATTTCATCTGTTCCATACGTATGTTGCAAGCGTTCTTGTCTAAATATTGCATATGTTTCACACATATGCTACAAAAGTATGTTCTAAATGTTTTAGCTGTTTCAATCTTATGTTGCATAAGTGTTTTCATGTTACAAATTGTAAGTGTTCTACACATATGTCGCAAGTGTTTCATGTTTGAGAGATATGTTCGGAGAGTTATAGGGCACAGCCCAGGCGCTAGGGGATGGGGCGCACGGCGCGCCAAGGGCCGCGGACGGGGTGGGCTGAGGCGGCATGCGCCGTGCTGTGGGAAGGCCGGGCCGAGTCGCTCGTATCGTGCGGGTGGGGAGCTGCATCTGGTCGCGCTGTTAGGCCATATGTCCGGGGGCTAGTGCCTCCCAATATGTGCAGCTTCGGTTTCGTTACGCTCATCGGCGCTCCTGTTTTTTTGCTTCGACGGGGAGCAACGTAAGCTATACTTGTGGAGCCGGTGGTGGCTCTCCGATGCCGGCGTTTGCTCTTCAGTCTTCTACTAGGCCATGTCCTCCTTCCAGAGGAGGTAGCGGCTGAACGTTCTCAGATGTGCTGCCATGGCCCATGGCCCATGGGCATGCCCAACAGCAAAAGTTCAGCGAGTCCTTCCTGAACTCCATCTCTGCCTCGATGCATCTCTCCCTTGTCCCTTCATGGCCTCGTGGGCCCGAAGCAAACACCACCCAGCTCAATGCAGCGAAATCTATTTTCGGGTTATATCCCTTTGAGATATATTTTTTTAATCACACTATAGACACAGTCACTCATACATGGACGTATATTCACCCCATATGAATGTGCGCACATACTCTATCTCTACGAGCACCTTCGAAAGTCTAAGATCGAAATGGACGAAGTCACCATGAGCATCTCGTTATCAACGGCCACATCGCTTACTATTGGAAAAGCAATGTCGTTAAAGTTAAGTCTTGAAATAAATCAAGAAAAATACAAGTGCCCGTGTCAAATCGAGGGCTTCGATCAGGATGGACAGATTGCAGAGCAAGGAAGAAAAAAGTTCCAAAACAATAATCATAGTCGATAGAAGCAACCTTACATTTGATTTCAATTTTCCCATTTTACATGGAAATACATGTGCACATGCTCAAATTTTAACATTTCACATGATAGGATGAAAGTGAAATACGTGATCATAGGTGTAAACACCGAAGGACGGAGTCCGCTTGGAGGGAGATGAGAGCATTAGGGGAAATTTGATATTTATATTTCTTTTTCATTCCTTCATTTGCTTTGTACATATATTTCTTCACACAGTACTCCTAATCTTTGATAGGTATAAAGCTCGCAAGAGTAAACAAACAAGATAGCAAAGGGCACTCCAGAACTTTGATAGGGGATTGTTTTGCCTCATTTGTATAATATGCTTATAAGAAAAGAAACTTAAACTTTTCAAAAAAAAAAAGTTACTCCCTTCATTTCAAATTATAAGACGTTTAAGTTTTTCTAGATATATAGCTTTGTAATGTTTTTAAAAAATTCAAAACGTCTTATAAGTTTGAACCGTTATAATTTTGAAAAGAGGGAGTACTATTCCCAACTAAGCCATGGCCCATGGGTGACTGAGAACAGAGGTAAATCAAGGTTGGCATGTGCACAGTGTAGACCCTTGTTTGCATTGTCCACAGCTAGTTCATAGACCACACTGCGATGAGGCATACAATAGAATAGAAATTATACATGCTCGTTTTCATTTTGGCAGAAAACGCCAGCAAGTGTACTGTACAGCTTCAGTTTCGTTATTCATGACGCTTGTCGTTTTCTGCTGCAGCTGTTAGCAACGGGAGCTCCACCAAGCGCACCTGCTCATCCGGTCCTTCCAAATTTATGGCATCCGGCGGTGGCTCTACACCATCAAGTCCAGCTTCTGGCTGTGCCACTCCTTCAGCTCCTGCATCAGCAGGCCGTGGTGGATTACCACGCAACTGAATGAGCAGATAACTATCTCTGCCAATGCGCCAAATAATACTCTCATCTCTGTTGCCACAGACATGCTCAACAGCAAGTTCAGCAACTGCTTCGACTGGCTCTTCTTCTTGCCTTGGTCGGAACCATATGACTGCACAGATTATCCCCACAACAGCCCAAAGACCAATGGTTATGAAGAACACTCCTCTTAAACTGCTCAAGGTAATAACAGAGCCTTACTCAACGGCATTTGCCTGGTTGTTGCAGGTCACCTCGTCTCCAAACCATCTCTGATCAATGCCCGCAAACTTGTCTCCTGTCACTGTCAGTATGGCCCTTGACACATCGGTGACCGGTGGAGAGCCCTTGGGGAAAACCTGTCAGTTGCAAAGCAACCAGAATAAGATGAATAATTTTGAAACGTAAACCATGCAAACTTGATGCACAGGAAAATTGAAATGTTAGTCACAAAAAAAAAGGAAAATTGAAATGTTAGTGACAAGTCATAAGTCCACCAGCCTAACTACTACCCAAAGCCACCAATTTATATATACTCCCGACCAGTCACAAATCGCATGCCCTTTTGGATATTGACAGTTTCAAAAGTTTAACCACGTCAAAGCTACAAGAGTGCCTGGTTAAACAGTGGCATTAGGTTTAAGTTTCTACTTCCAAAACGACATACATCTATGGCCTGAGGAAGTAGTCAGGAAGCAAATGGATTAAATGGACAAAAAAAAGAAACAATTACAAAGCCAAATCCACCAGTCTTGTGAACACGACCAACAATACTGTGGTTCCTGCAGTGCTTCGACATAAACAATTTGAGGTACGGTATCTCATCGAATACTGCTGCAACACCGCCATTCCAGCTCCCTTTCATCAGTGCCTCAGCATACTGATCTGTAGAGCTGTACTTTCTAATTTTGTGCTCCTCTACTTTTTGGCTCTTCAGGAAATCCTTAACAAAAGACCCACCCTGGTAACCAATATAATCTCCATTACTAATAAGTTGATTCAAGTCAACAACCGTTGGCTGGAGTTGGTGTACAGTCATCATGGAGGTCAAGCTTGCACTATAGAGTTTCTCCAACAACCAAACCAGTAACACCAAGTTTATTAGTGCAAATTTTGATAACCATTTCTTCAGTTTTGGGTCTGCAAGAATATATAGCACAAACTTATCAGGGTTATGTACATTTTGTTAGAAAGCAAAATGCCATACCAAAAAATTCTGTATTACCAAAAATAATAATAATAAATTGGTTCCCTAAGAATTTGGCATAATTTGGTAACAAAATAAACTTTGAAGGCAATGAAAGGAGAATAAGAGCCTCACTAAAATGTTAGCAACACAAACAATCGAAGTTGCCAATTTTTGGTTTAAGTTAATTTCGGTATCAATGTCTAATGCAAAAACAACAATTGTATAAAACTATAAATTAGTCCTCATAATATATACAGAAACTGTTATGCTAATATTTGTGTTTTAAACTAGCCAGCACTGTACGATTCCGATGATCCTTTTATTTTATAGATAGTTCCATAGTTCATTAATTGCATTTCGACATCTATACAAAGGTTATTTAGTGTAAGAAGCTAAGTAAAAAAAGGTATGAAAAAGCTGCAAGTTACCATAAAAATAAAATAGGCAGATGCTTTCTGTAGTGAAGGTTGGTTGTGTAAGAAGGTAAGAGCAAAATGATGGTAAAAATCTGCAAGTTAAGAGAAGGCAATGTATGGTCAAAGTTGCCAATTTTGGTTTATCTAAATTTTGATACCAATATCTAAAGTTGCAAAAACAACAATTGTATTTTTCTACATCTTGTTTAGTGTAAGAAGCTAAGTGCAAAAAGGTTGAAAAACTTTGCAAGTTATACATACAAACAAAATAGGCGGATGCTTTCTATAGCGAAGATTTGTTTAGTGTAAGAAGGTAAGAGCAAAAAGGATAGTAAAAGTTGGCAAGTGCGATAGTGAGAAGCTTTTGTAGCTCACCCTTTGGAACAGCAAGTGCTTGAAAGCTGAAATAAGCAATGTTGACAAGCTGCCTCCAAGCGCTGCCACCAAAATCCCTGCTTTCCTTGTGCTCAACAAGCCATATGACAAAACCCGTGAATACAGTATACGGCATCTCCTGCATGACAGCTTCAAAGACATCTATACAGTATCCGGTCACATCGAATTTTCCAGTAGGGGTAGAGTCTTACCGCCTGTGACCGGAAGGTCCCGGGTTCGAGTCGCGGTCTCCTCGCATTGCACAGGCGAGGGTAAGGCTTGCCAATGACACCCTTCCCCAGACCCCGCACAGAGCGGGAGCTCTCTGCAGTAGGTACGCCCCTTTTTTTTTTTTCTTCTTAACATTCACAAATGCGTTAGGAGCAGGTTTTACTGGCACAGCAATCTTCAACTTCTTTCCAGCCACTGGCCACTCCCAACCCCTAGGAGCCTGTGCTGAACCACCGGGCCAAATAAGTGTATTCAATCCAACGGTATCACTTGGACCAGAAGAGGTAACAAGTTTCTTGCTTAGGCCAAACTTGGGTGTCCAGAACCCAGCACTTTGATATGAATTACCAATCACATTAAATATCTCAAATACTGATGCCTGCCTCTGGCCATCAACTAGAATAAATTCACCTGATATGCCTTGGAACTTGGTGGCCTGGATGGCATCAACAAGTCTTGGCCCATCTTGTGACACGCCAAGCACGCGCAGATCATTGAAGTTATTGCTGTTCTGTGATGATGGCGATTTGAAGCCCAGTGTAAGGGGTACAACCTTTGTTAGGGCTGTTGCAATGGCCCATGCTGTGTCATATGCCCACATGTGGAAAACATTTGGATTTGCTGGTTCAGGTGCACCTGGGTTCTGTTGTTTGTACCATGAAAGAAATCGAGCGCGGAAGTTGAGCAGCTTGTCCAATCGTGGAATGTAAGGCCTCACACCAAGAACACCCTGCATTGAATGGATCGTGTTCCCATCAAGGGTGCTAAACATGTTGCCTACACTGTCGGTCACAATCCAGGCATAACCATCAACCAGCATCTCAGCATCATGTGCAAGGGCAAAGAGGCGTGCTGCAACATCGGATGACATGTGCACGACAAAGACTCGAGTTTGCATAGTCTTCAGCTTGTTAAGCTCCACGTTTATCTGATCATCAGTAGGACACAGAAGGTATGATGCTTCGGTATGGGGTGTGTGTGTCAATGTCTTGGAGAGCATCCACAAGATATGGTATAATGCCTCTACCAAATTCAGAATCCTCAAGTACGGCTTGGCGCCAACTGAAGTATTCAATCAGAGAAGCTATTGCAGGGACCTGGGAGGCATCATCCAGGGCAGTCCGAATAAAGTACTTGGATTGCTTAGCTGACAAGTAAGGACTGGTGGCCGAATAAGACAAGATGGGGACATTTGTCATGTTGCCGATGCCAATAATGAACCTCGCCTGCATTGATGTCTTTGGCCCAATGATGGCTTGCACTTTGAAGTCTTTCAGCAGGTCTATCGCTGCAACATAGGAAAAGGGGGTTATAAGCATGGATTCGCCATTGTCCAACACTAGGGTAGTAAGTAACTACATTGAGCATGGCACGCATGCTGTGGTAGTTCAATCCTATTGGATTACCACAAGATCGAAGGTGTTGAAAGCTAAGCTAAGCTTATTGTAATGGCCTGGCCTGCTTAAACTCTTAAGCCTTAGCCATAGTAACAAATGAAAGCTCTTCCAGTGGATCCAATAACTCTTCCCACCTTTTATTTTTCTTTTTTTTTCCTTTTTTCTCCGGGAATGCCTTTGCGAGCTCCTCTTGGTTGCTGTTAGCACACATCTTGAAAGATGGTAGACATTCCATGATGCCAATAAAACTATAAAACAGTGCGCAAGCTCTAAAATGGTTCATGGCTGCACTGTCTAGCACCATTCCCAACCCAAAGTTAAGGCAGTTAATGCCAAGTAAGGGTACCATTTTTCGTGTCGATTGAAGGGGCTAGCGACTAGCAAGAATTTCAATTTCATATAATCAGGCATAGGGCTGGATATCGAGCCAGCTCGGCTCGGCTCGGTCCAGCTCGAGCTGGCTCGTTAGGCTAACGAGCCAGCTCGGCTCGGCTCATTAATATTACGAGCTAGAGGGGCAGCTCGGCTTAGCTCGTTACCGAGCTCGAGCTGACTCGTTTAGCTCGCGAGCTACTAAAAAAAATAGGACACACATGTTTATAATGTTTATGCTACATTAATTCCAGAAGGTGACGTCCACCATCATGCAACCATACATGATTAATACATATCATGTTCATCAAAAGTATCAACCATGCAACATAGCTAGTCCATCCATGATCATGCAGTTCCAGCATACTAACTAGTTGCTTGTCACCACAAACTTTGGAAAGTGAACAGATTCAATGTCAGCATCATCATCTTCCCCAAGGAAAACAATCCATAAAATTAATATTTAAGTACCACAACAATTATAAAATTAAAATTCATATGAAACAGCTGAAAATAAGGATTACATACCAATAGAATAGTTCAGCATCATTATCTTCTAGATTCATGGTCATGGGCTGATAGGCCTCAGCTCGCTCGTTTCAGCTCGCGAGCTGGCTCGTTAAAATAGCGAGCTAGACTTCTAGCTCAACTCGTGAAAAAAGTTAAAACGAGCCGAGCTGAGCCGGCCACGAGTCGAGCGAATTGGCGAGCCGCGAGTATTTTGTCCAGCCCTAATCAGCATTATGATTTATGAATAATCTGCAACTGCAAGACACTTGCAACCACTAATATTTTCCCCAACGTACTCACCTCGCTGATGCTGAACACTGATAGGCGCCACGGATTCGCCGGTACAGCCTCGGCCTTGCACCAGGAGTGATGGGTGAGCCAGCTTCCCATCTGGCGGCCGCGCGCCAGCGGCCGCTCTGTCGCTCGACCAGCGGCGGGGTTTCGGCCCCCGCCGACAACCGCGCCCTCTACTTGGCAAGCCCAAAATCCACCGGAGCTCAGGTCCGCAGGGTTGAACCCACGCACGGCGGCACCCATGGGCAGGCATCACGTCTCGGTGGTTTTGCTGCCGGTGGTTAAGTGGTTTTGCCTCACCGGCGCTGCCGCTCTCCGCGGCTCCCGGCTCCGCCCCTCCGCAGTCCGCAGTCCCCGGCTGCAAAGCCGGCCGTGTACGGGCTGGTGAGTGGCGACTCAATCCAGCATTGGGCTCTGTTTGGGTCAAATTAGACCCATAGCAATTTGGCCTCTTGAGCATTTGTCTGGATTTTTTTTTTCAAAGATAATGGCCCAGCGATGTTAAGGATTTAGAGTCACACAAAGACGCAAGATCAAAGTTTTTTAAAAAAAAAAGATTCATGGTTAAATAGTTTATTTTTAAAGTAAATTAGATGAACTTAACAATTTTTAAAATATTTTTTCAAAGTATGGCTCATTTGAGAAGCTATACTTTAATAATGGTGCTAATCCATGACATAACGGCTTGTGATAACACAATGCTCTCTCCGTCCCTAAATAAGTGTCGTTCTCGCTTCTCGAGGAATCAAACACTTTTACTAAATATATAAAAAATATTTATATTTATATTACATAATAAGTATCATTAGATAGATCGCTGAATCTATTTTTATAATAAATTAATTTAGAGATACAAATATTGCTAATATCTTTTATAAACCTAGTCAAACTTATAAAAGTTTGACCCGCACAGATAGTCGGATACCATAGCGACACTTATTTTAGGACGGAGCAAGTACTTCCTCTATCCCTTTCTATGAGTCGTTCTTGCTTCCCGAAAAATCAAATGTACTAAATATAAAATAAAATATTAATATTTATAATACATAATTAGTATTATTAAATATATCGTTGAACCTATTTTATAATAAATTTATGCAAAGATATAAAAATTGCTAATATTTTCTATAAACTTAGTCAAACTTGAGAAAGATTGATAGATTGACACGAATCTCAGAGGAACACTTAATACACTAGTTCTGGCAGCGTTTATCGCGTGGTCATCGCTAGCGAAAGGAAATTAGCAGCACGAGATAATAAATAAAAACGTTCAAGTATAGTATACCAGCCGAAGCAGCGGTGATCTCGTCATCCTTGCAGTCGGCAACGTGCAGCGCCACGGTGGTGCTGGTGCCGGAGCCGTCCGGCGGCCGCGAGGCGTAGAAGTCGTCGAGCGCGAGCGACATGGACGCCCGTGACTCCCTCCCGCCAGTCGACCCGAGGTCGAGCAGCGCCCCGACCTGCAGGACGCTCGACGCTGCAGCAGGCGCGGTCGCCCTCTGCGCCCGCCCCAGCAGTAGTCTAGGATGATCACGGCCGACGAAGAGTAGCCAAGAAGAGAGAAGCACGAGGACGGAGACGATGATGTTCCAGCAGTCCACCATCTCTCTCTATTCCTTGTTGGGATTGACATGGTGCTCCATTGGTGCATCCATATATATAGCGCACGCCGTTGACTTTGTGTGTGGTCGGCCGAATGAACAGGACGATCGACGTACGATGGCGATGAGGATATATAGCGCGAACGACGACCATGCATGCAATGCAACCATGGCGACGAAATGAACTGAAAGTCAGAAGTCTTCGTTTTTGCTACGAATTGGGACGCCATTAGTTAGGCATGGACCATGCGACTTTAACTTGCGAATGGTGCCGTACGTATGCTGGCTCTGTCCTTTCGCACGAGGGGAAGAAGATACACCGGTTCTAGGGCGCAGTCGAGCTAGCATGAGTCGCTCGGTCGCTCCTATATATGCCGTTCCGTCGTCGTGGATGACGGCGCTACTCTATACCTACAACTGTTCGAGAGGCCGTATCGTATCGTGAATTATTTACTACTGACTGGTTTGGTGTGAGAGAAAAACACTGTTTCTGGCTGAAAATTTACGATCGTTCGATGACTTTGGCACAGTGAGAAAGAGACTGTCGCCTGTGGCCTGCCAAAGGAGTGCCAGTCCGGGCCATAAAACATGCATGTTGTCATCCTGGGCTGGCTAGCCTCGTGTCCGTCTGTAGGCCGGTAGTACTGACGGGTAAGGCCTGCTTTAGACGTCCGTCGTGGTGTGGCCCAATCATGCTCAGGCCCAGTCAGCACCCATCCTCATCGCCGCGTGTACGGAACGACAACCCACAGAGACCTTCGTTCATGTCGCCCACGAGGCCACGACTGCGCGGTAATTCTCGCCTCGCCTCGTCGTCAAAGGTCCGCCAAACTGCTGCTTCGCTGCTCCACCTTGTGCCTTGTGCGCTTGGCTTGTCTCGTCTCATCTCGACCGAGTTGTCTCCACCCATGGCCCGGCACCCTCCCTTCCGCCGTGTGTTCTTCTACCTCATCGGCCTGCTGGCCTCGCTCATCCCGGCCACGTCGCGGGCGCAGCCACCGGAGACGGTCACGGTGGGGCTCATCATCGACGCCGACTCGCCCGTCGGCAGGATCGCCAGCACCACCATCCCAATGGCGCTCGACGACTTCTACGCCGCCTTCCCCAACGCCTCCGCGCGGGTCCGCCTTCTGCAGCACGACTCCGGCGGGGACGTCGTCGCCGCCGCGTCGGCCGGTATGGACACGTGTCCCCCCAACCGCCCCCACCACTCCGTCGTCTCCGTTCGCTGACGTCCGCGTGCGTGCGTGCAGCGCTGCAGCTGATGACGGCCCAGGGCGCGCGCGCCATCCTGGGGCCGCAGTCCTCCGTCGAGTCCGCCTTCGTCGCGGACCTCGCCACGCGCGCTGAGGTCCCCGTCGTGTCCTTCTCGGCGACCAGCCCGTCGGTGTCCCACTCCGAGGCGCGCTTCTTCGCGCGCGCCGCGCTCAGCGATGCCAAGCAGGCGGAGGCCATCGCCGCGCTCGCCACCTACTTCGGCTGGCGCCGCGTCGTGCCCATCTACCAGGACGACGACTACGGCGCCGCCTTCGTGCCGTTCCTCGTGGACGCGCTCACGGCGGCGCGAGCGGAGGTGCCCTACCGCTGCGCGCTGCCCGCCGCGGCCACCAGGGAAGCCGTCGCCGCCGCGATGTACCGCCTCGAGTCCAAGCAGACGCGCGCCTTCGTGGTGCACGCGCGCCCGGCGCTCGCGGAGCTCGTCTTCGCCGCCGCCGTGGAGGCCGGAATGATGGCGGAGGGCTACGCGTGGGTCATCACCGACGGGCTCACGGGCCTCCTCGGCTCCATCCAACCGCCGCAGGGCGTCATCGGGCTCGCGCCCCACGTGCCGCCCACCGCGCGCCTGCGCGACGTCCGGAAGCGGTGGGCGCACAGGTTCATGCGCCAACACCGGGACGCCGATCCGGCTCAAGCCGAGATGGGATGCTACGCGCTGTGGGCGTACGACGCCGCATGGGCCGTCGCGTCCGCGGCCGAGCGACTCAGCCCCGGCGACCTGTCATCGCCACCGGGGCTCGGCGGCGGCAGGAGCGGCCCCACCGACTTCTCCGGGCTCGGGAAGTCAATGTCCGGTGAGAAGTTCCTCGAGGCAATAACCAACACTACATTCGAGGGCCTCGGCGGCAGGTTCGAGCTCATCGACGGCGAGCTGGCAGTGCCGGCCTTCCGGATCGTCAACATCATGGACAACGCCAATGAGCGGGGCATCGGATTCTGGACGCAGAAGGACGGACTGCATAGGCAGCTTGGGCGCGGCCGCGGCGGGATCGCGTCGAACAGCGGGCTCGCGCCAGTGATCTGGCCGGCGGACTCGACCGTCGTACCGATTGGTTGGGTCCAGCCGACGAGCGGCCGGAAGCTGCAGGTGGCGATGCCGGCGGGGCACGTCGACCCTGGCTACCAACCGATCATGCACCTCGACGTCGACCCAGCAACGAATCGGACGGTAGCCGGCGGGTTCGTGATCGAGGTGTTCGAGGCGGCGGTGCGTCTGCTGCCCTACGCGCTGCCGTTCGAGTACGTCCTAGTGGGCTCCATGCGCTACGACACTCTAGTCGAGAGGGTCGGCAAAGGGGTAAGTGCACTATCAAATCTTGAAGTTGTTAATTTCTACATATATACTCTGATTCTGTTAGTACATGTTTTACATTGCAAGATTGGCATTTTATGGTTTCTATAACAACCTCAACCAAACATTCGTGTTGAAATCTACATTAAATGACATAGAAGTTCATTTCCTTCACAGCAAAGGTTTTATAGATTTGATTATATATATCCGATGTAGCAGCTATTGATTGGCAGTTAGTATATTGCACAGGCTAATTGTTGCCTAATTGCATACAACCTGTTCGCTTGCTCGTAAATGATCGTAAATTTCCAGCCGGAAACAGTGTTTTTCTCTCACACCAAACCAGCCAGCAGTAAATAATCCACGATACGATACGGCCTCCCGAACAGGCTGATACTCCTTGTAATATAGTGCATTCTAGGAATTTTAAGACAAATTAAGAGAGAACAAAAGATACATGTACCCTCATATTATTTCTAAATCAGACGCTACTATCAACGTGATTAGTGGTGATTTATTGATAAATGGAAAATATTTAATGCAAAAGTGATTTTTGTCTTCTAGAATGCATTATATTTGAGGATAAATTTTGAATGCTAGAATGCACTATATTACAGGACGGAGGGAGTAGGCATTAGCTTTCTTTTCTTATCTAGTCTTTTTCTTTTCTTTTTTTGTTTCTTCTGTGAGGATAGCACTTCCTCCATTCTAAATTATAAGTCGCTTTAACTTTTTTGGTTTATCCATTTTGCTATGTATCTAGATATATTATTATATCTAGATGCATAGTAAAATTAATGTACCAAAAAAGTTAAAACAACTTATAATTTGGAACGGATTGAGTATTCAGATATACTCCATCATACCCTAATTTTCAACCTTTATCAAGGATAAAATAACCACCATCAATGAAAATGAGATCAACACAACAAAGAAAACACATCTTATGCAACACCCCCAACCATTTACATGCTTCTCAAATCTCAAGTACAGCTTTTTATAGCTATACCAACCACTAAAAGCAATCTAATAGGAAAAATATAATATTATGAAAGCATTTTTCGTGGTAGTGCACACATTAATCTCAGATCATGCTTTAAATACATATATGATTTTTCTTAGTTATTGGAGGCCAAAGATGAAAAATGGCAAAGACTGACAAATTTAAGTTCCTTATATTTAGGATTGCAGACGGCTAGAGGTATAGTAACATTATTCATGTATTAGCCGGACAGCTATAGCGTAGAACATAAGCTTTACACAATGATTGATCGGCTTTAACAGGTGGCGAGTTGACTTAGTGTATGGATTTAATGACTTAATAAACGGGACATTCTCATGGTCTGTGTTATTCGAAAGGAATTTAACCTTCAATTTACATCCATATTTGAGTATATAAAGAGCACGAGGGTTCGTTGACTTCAGAAGATTCCTTAGCATAGGCTTTGTCCAAACACGCGTTCTTGTCATTTGTCTTCTAGTCAAGTCTTGTACATGTCATGTAGAGTACGTAATTAGTAGCTATTTTTATATAACACTACCAGACAATGCATAGAGTTTCTTTATGCTTTTTGGGTTGGTTTCATCCGTAGACAAATAGCTACTCCGATCCCCATGCTAATGCAACATACATACCAAAAAATGGCTTGCATTGCATTTACAAAAGTCGAGCATACTAAAATAAACACCATACTACTTTCTCTGTTCTAGATTATAAACCATTTTGACTTTTTTACATATATAAATTTTGCCATGCACTATATAGTATGTCTAGATATATAATATAAGTAATGTATCTAGAAAAATAGAAACATCTTATAATTTGAAATGCAGAGAGTAGTAAAGAGTCCCTGTACTAATTGGGCACCAAGTCACATATTTCTGAACTTCTATTTATACGAAGCTGTCAGTTCAAACTTCTCTGTCGCCGACCGTATATTTTGACTCGGAATGCATTGACCGGTAGACCGTTTCCAAGACATAAGTTGGCTCCTGTAGTAATCCATGGTCCATGGACCAAACCAAGAGTTGCATATATAAATAAAGTTGACCGATTCCGTTATAAGTTTCTTTAAAAAAAGCATTTGAGATTAATCAAGTCATATCGTTGTAGATACATTTAATTTATACAAACACATCATCTAGCACTAAAGGGATCGTTAGCTTCATCAAATGCAAGTAGCCGTACGAGTCAAATGCATGAGAACCTGAACTAATTGAACAGGTTTTACCGGTTCCATAGGAAATCTATATTCACCTGGGTCTCGTTTAGTTCACTTAGGCTTATTTGGATGTAGCACTCCAATACAACCCAACACATGTGGATTAAGGTGAATCCGACAACATTTAAACAAGGCCTTAAGCAGCATAGCCATTCAATGGAGCGAGTATCTAAAAAACGACTTACCGTTTGAAATGAAGGAAGTACTATATATATCATGTGGTTCAAAAGTCATTTTTTATAACTTGAAAATCATTTGAAATTAAAGTACTGTGTAGAAAGTAAACAATCAGGGTTACATGTATTTAAATGTTTATAGTGTGCAGGGATGAATTCAAGTAAATCCGTGGGCACCTACACATATATCGTTGCTGGTTCGTTTATGTAAGAGAGAAGTACTACTGGCCAGTTCAGATAAACAGTTTTTTTGTGAGGGGGCTGGCCAGCCCAGCCTGCCAGCCAGCCTCAGACGAACGAGCTGATGACGCACCGGCGTACGTTGTTTCTGTGACGCTCCGGTTGCTTGAAGTGTGAACCCATGCCCAGATGGCACTTGCCTAATTTGTCGTAAAATAGACGCTGGTCGGTATCAAATCGCTATCGGTCCTGTGTGATCAAGGAGATGCAGACACTGTACTGCTTAGTGACACCTAATAATAATAGTTCAGTTAGCAATAGCCCTGTGCATGGGTGGGTTTATGACACCTAATAATAATAGTTCAGTTAGCAACGTCTGTCTCGAAGTCGTAACTCTACTTGCTTCAGCTTTATATATGAGTACTGAAGTATAAGTGAGCATACTTTATTACCACGCAAGTGGCCCAATTATTTTAGGATTTCTCTTACATTATTTTATTTAGGAGTTTAGGACTGCTTTGCTAGGTAATTGACGTATGGTTAATATGATAATTACTCACTTGGTCTAAAAAATCTACTATAGTATCGAGTTAAACCAATTTATATTTGACTAAGTTTCTAAAAAATCTTGATATTTATGATATAAAATAAGTACCACTAGATTTATTAGGGAATATGTTTTCTTTCATTATATATTTATTTGATGCCTGATTTTTTTTTCTTTTAGATAGTTTGACTAAGGACGGAAGTAGAGTTGCACGCTTTTCGTACTATAAGGTAGTACTTCGGTCTCAACTTATACCCTTTGTTCCAAAATCATTTTAGTTTTGTCTATATTAAACTTATTTAACTAGCTTTGATCATATTATAGAAAAAAGCAACATAATCTATAACATTAAAAGTTTCATAAATCTAATTAGATATTAATATATTTTTATATAAATTTGATCAAGACTCAAAGTAAGAGAAGTGTACCTAGAACAAAAACTATAACAACCTATACTTTGGAGTCCTGATTTTTCACCACAGTTTGACCCTTAAACTATGCCTGTGACTGGCATAGATTCGTGTTGTTACAAACCAACAAACATTATTTTACACTCTTCTTAATCGCATGTATCAGAACGTAACAGATTAGCTGGAATGGAATCACAAACCGAGACTCAACTAAGTTGGGCTTGAGCTTACAAGATAGTCCCAAAGTATCCGATCCAAGGATTTGAGCTTAACTTAGCTGCATCGTGTTCGTGTCCACAGGAGTTCGACGCGGCGGTGGCGGACATCACCATCACGGCGGACCGGTCGCAGCACGTGGACTTCACGCTGCCGTACATGTCGTCGGGGATCTCCATGGTGGTGCCGATGCGCGACCAGCGCAGCAAGCGCCCCTGGGCCTTCCTCAAGCCGCTCCGCTACGACCTCTGGCTCGTCAGCTTCGCCTTCTTCGTCTTCACCGGCTTCGTCGTCTGGGCCGTCGAGCACCGCAGCAACAAGGAGTTCCGTGGCCCCCCGTCCTACCAGATCGGCACCCTCCTCTACTTCGGCTTTTCAACCCTCGTCTTTGCACATAGTAATGCAAATGCTCCCCCTGTTGCTTGGCTGCTTGCGGTGATCCGCCATTGCCCATTGGTAACGACGTGCTTGAATCGGTGGTGGATGCAGGGGAGAACCTGAAGAGCAACCTGTCGCGGTTCGTGGTGGTGGTGTGGGTGTTCGTGGTGCTCATCCTGCAGTCCAGCTACACGGCGAGCCTGACGTCCATGCTGACGGTGCCGCAGCTTCAGCCGGCGATCGGGGACTTCGCCTCGCTGTGGCGGGGAACGGACAAGGTCGGGATCATGAACAACTCCTTCATGTGGGCGGCCATGAACAAGTCGGGCTTCCCTCAGTCCAGGCTCGAGCGGTACCAGGCCACGCAGAGCTTCCACGAGGCGCTGCTCAACTGCACCATCGGCGCCATCGTCGACGAGACGCCCTACCTCAGGCTCTTCCTCAAGTCCTACTGCGACAACTTCACCGAGACCGCCCAGAGCAACAAGACCGGCGGCTTCGGCTTCGTAAGCGCCCCTGCTTGCTGCCACTAGACATCGTCACATCATCACTTGGTGTGCAGGTGCAGCATTTCGATCGATCGGCAACTAATAACTTGTGTCGTGCTCGTGCATGGACGACGATCTCGAGCAGGCGTTCCCCAAGGGGTCGCCGTACGTGGCGGACCTGTCGCGGGCGATCCTGAACCTCACGGAGAGCGACGAGATGAGCTTGATCGAGCGCAAGTGGTTCGGCGATGCGGACGGCTGCACGGCGCAGGGCAGCCAGTTCACGTCGGACAGCCTCAGCTTCGACAGCTTCTGGGGCCTGTTCCTCGTCACCGGCGCCACCTCCCTCCTCTGCTGCGCGCTGCACCTGCTCATCTTCGTCGTGGCCAACCGCCGGAGGATCTGGGCGTCGCGCGTGCCCTGGAGGAACAGGCTCCGGATCTTCCTCAAGCTCCTCGACGACAGGGACCTCTCGTCGCACACGTTCAGGACCAACAAGGATGCCGGCGGGTCGGTGGCTGGTCGGAGCGCTAACGACGCGGGCGCCTCCCCGCCCCCGGCCGTCGCGCACATTGCAGCCGGCAGCCCGCTCAGCGTGTCCAACCACACGTACGACATGAGTGACTGGTCGTTTGGTGTGCCGAGCCCGGCACCTGCAGCTGCAGGTGAGAATGAGATCGAGCTGGCTGGCGCCGCCGAGGCAGACGAGGTGGCCGCAGCTCCCAACCCCGGCGGCTCTGGTGATCAAAGTGGCACAGTCCACTGATCTACTGCTATTTCCCGACTTCTCTTACTGCTCTGGCAGGAAATGTTAATGGGCAACTGCTGATCGATGATACGTGTAGATTAATTCATTTAATTGCAAGAGCTCAAGGATAATGGCACTGTTTATATGCATGTAGCCAGCTGGAGGTCATCCTTCTTACGTGTAACGTGTTAAGATAGGGTGTTTTAAGTAATTGTAAATTGTATATAAACTGCTCGTCTAAGAAAACTGCATTGTAAATTGCAGGAAGTCCAATAGTGAAATTCTCAAAAGGTTCAGTAGTGAAGTTAGTTTTTTTCCCCTATACCTATGAACACCAGCAGATCTCAAGATCGACGAATACCACATATGTCTCGATATCGATAGACATGTCACTTACCACTAAAATGGAAGGATAGAATCGTTAAATTTGAAAATAAATTTAGAAAAATACGAACACAGATGGACATGTTCTACCACAAGTAACCTAGCTGAGTTTGCTGCACTTGTTGTCAACTTATCAAAATATTGTTAAAGTATATTGGTGTAGAGGATGAAGCTTTAATTTCTGGTAATACTCATATGCTTTAATTTGTCCCTCCACAAATTTTTCATTGCAAAACTCAACTTAATTAAAAAAATACAAAACTAAGAAATTCTTAGTGGTTTCAAATGTGTTATAAACGTATTGAGGTATAGTTAGAATATATCGGTGTAGAGGATAACACATTATTTTCTTGTAATACCTTGTATGCTTTAATTTGTTCCTCCATAAATTTTCATCACAAAACCAACTTAATTAAAAAGAAACAAAAACAAGAAATTCTTTTTTGTGGTTTCCAAAAACGGTTCCCTATATGAACCACTTTTAAAAATAGAAGTATTTCTAGAGACCATAACCTCTAGAAATACCTTTTTTCTAGAGGTGGTCCATAGTTGTGGGTTCCTAGCCAACTACATATGCGGTGGTCACCATTATGGTCGATCTATGTAGTAAAATGAGTTGTCTTCAACATGATTTTTTAGTAGTGCTAATTGAACTCTAGGGGCATAGGCATGACCATCGAGCGTCCTTCCACCAAGCGCTAGCTCTCACCTGTAGCATCCCAGCCTCATCATCGCAGAGTGTATCAAGGAGAGTCCATGCGGGCACAAGAATAATGGTAGTGTCAAGGTTATTCTGGCCCGTGCAATGATTTCCTTCCATATCTTGGTGGTTTAGCAGGCGATGGCGGCAATGCCCTCGCCTTCGATGAAATAGATTTGTATTCAAAACGACTTCAAGGCCGATGATATTGATTATTTAGTAATTACCAACATATTGGAAGACAAAATCAACAGTCAAATCTACTTGGTATGACCCTTCTTGACCAAATAAATGTGCTTATCATTCTTGGACAGAGGGCTGTGACACTTTTGATCCAAGTTTCCCACAAAGATTTCACAATTGAACCTTCCACATGGTCAAGCAAAGAATTCTATCTTTTGATAGAATCAGCCAATGACACAAATATCCCTTCAACAATTCCAGCAAAACGTAACAACCTTACTACAAGATTTAGCCATATCACAAAGAGTAATAAAAATTATAGCAAGCACATATTAGAACTATTATCATAAGCTCATAACCTTTGCTCCTTAATGTCATCAATATTAAGATGGAATCAAACAATACACTAAAAGTCCCAAAACTAGATGTGTCATCTACCTTCAAGAAACCAAGAAATAAAGTACTCTCGATTTTAATTTTACCATTATAAATATTACACATCATACAACAAACTTATTTTGTTCTTGGTGACTGAAAGTGCAATCAAGCCTTAATTGTGGGTTTTGGTGATAATTGCGACGCAATTAGAGAACTAATGAGATTTATCGAGATGACAAGCAGAGAACTTATATTCGAGGATGCTGCACGGAACGGAGGAGTCCCCAATTACAAATGTAGATGGCTTCAAACTCAAAGGAGGTTTAAATTCTTTTATATATTAAATTTGAGTATAAGAAAAGTCGTACTATAAAGAGAGGCACAATGCTTAAGCTAATATGTGCTACCAAGTGTTTAAACAACCACAAGTATCATCAGATTCAGCTAAGATAGTCTATACTTCACTGTTACCCTTGCTGTCTTACGTGGTGCGGCACTGCCACACTTGAAGAGAGGCTCACCCGACCCCTTGGTCGCAGGCTCCGGTTCGCTCGACCCCTGGGTCGCGGGCTCTGGCTCGCCCGACCCCTTGGTCGCGGGCTCCGGCTTGCCCGACCCTTTGGTCGCGTTCTCATCTCGCCCAACCTCTTGGGTGCAGTGTTCGTTGAGAGATGGGGGAATATATACTTTTCCCTTTCCTTCCCAACGGCTATCTGCGATTTTAGTGACTGTTGGGGGCCGGAGGTATATATACCTTTCCCCTTCATTCCCAACGGGAATGAACCAGCTATCTTCTTCCTCACTTCAGCATGCCCAAAATAGAGCAGGAGCTCTCTCTCTCACTCTCTCACTCCATTGTTGACCTCAAGCCCTCAAGCAAATCCATTGATTTTCCCATCAATCATTGAGGAAAAAGGGTCCCAAACTTGATTAGAGAGCAGCTCCATTGATTCCCAAACTCTAAAGAGCACTTGGTTCACGTTTTGGCCGGCGGTTGTGTTTGTTACTCTTGGAGCTTGGCTCCTAGCCGACTAAAGCGTCGCCCGTGGAGCTTGCCAACTTGTGTGGCAGCCCCGGGAGGTTTGTAACCATCTCTTGAAGCGAGTAAACTCACCCCTCATCTCAAGAGTTAAGTCTCTTGACTTGAGAACGAGGAAGGGTTGGAAAGCTCTAAGCCTTAGTGGCTAACCTCAACAACGTGGCGGTAGGCAAGCCTTGGTGGCGAGCCGAGCCACGGGATAAATCATTGTGTCACTTGTGCTTGATTTGCATTACTTGCATGATATATTGTTGATTGAGGTGATTTCTAGAGTTTAAGGTTGATCTACTTGTGTGTGGTGTTCCCACCACTTTTAGTGTCGATATGTGATCTACTACCTACAGAAAGCTAAGAAATATACCTGATCTAAATTTTGTTGGGAAGATTTTAAATTGTGAACTAATCTCTCCTACAGGTGCGGCAGTGCCATGGGTGAATTTGACTTCGGTTTGCGTTGAATTTTTACAGACCTATTCACCCCCTAGGCGTACCAGAGATCCTACAGTGACTAACATCTGAAGTACAATCAAGGATAACTTGGCCTCTTTAACAATCTTCTTGATACATTTTGAAATGTCAGAGACCATAAGAGAAATCAACTCATTTTGGATTTTATGGATAAGATAACTATAATGAATCTCTTTGTTTTGAATATACCTAAGGCGACGTTGCATTATCAAATCAAATTCTTCAATCATCTCAACACAACATAAGAAATTGTTATTGAGGTCTTGGTCACTGGATTCTCTAAAGCCGAATTGCGTTCACAACATAAGAAATTGTGATTGAGGCCCTGCTCACTGGATTCTCTAAAGACAAATTGCGTCTACCAAGAAATTTTACAATAAACTTGACTTAAGCGTTCTTCCTGCTTTGAGATTTGTTGCTATAACCCTTTGTCTCGCTCGTTTCAGCGAGCAAAAGATAGAAATCACGAGCGTCGCGGCGATACAATAAGGGGACCAAATACGATGTTTGCTTCGGTTTCTAGCTTGAGAGGTCAGTCGAGATTTCAAAGACGGAACCAAATCCGCCCAAAGGACCGACACTGCAAAGATCGTCGTCCACGCCCTGCATAGTGCATACAAGTCAAAGGTAAAGTCGCTGCCACCTCCGACGACTCCAATGGCGATGGCGGAGGTCGTTAACGCGGTATTAATTTAATGCCGCGTTGCGCGCTTCCACAGATTCTTTGTCCTCTAGAGAGAAATAATATCCAGCAGATGGTAGAAAAGATCCCATGCTGTTTAATCCCTGGATAATCGATCGACGTCGACGTCGCTGTCGCTGTCGAGTTTGTTCTGGCTTTGCAACGAACTTATCCCCACCTATTCTTGCCATTTTAAATTCGCGCGAGATCGATCTGGACAGGATAGTCGCTGCAGAAAATTCCAGCTTGGACCGTTTCAGTGGCCGGGACGTGAAGCAACGCCGGGCGGGGCGGAGATCTCCCGGTGTTCCATACTTCCAGTTCCATCGCAACAAGAACTGGACCACTGGGTTTTCAAATTCAGCTGCCAGAAACTGCTGTCCCGAAGACTTTGACCGCACGACAGCTAGCCTCTGATTCCACGCCTCCTCTGGGCGCCCGAGCTACACCTACACGCGGCTCCCACGGCGCCACAGCCACGGCCAGCTTGGCGTTTTCTCGCCACGGCCGCGGTAGGTCACGCCGTGCCGACACGAAAGTAGTACCCTGGGCTCGCATTGCGTCGCCCAAGGACCAATCGCGCGCCCTGCAGCGCCAGCCCTGGACATGTCACATGTGTAGAAGAGATTCCCGTAGCCTCGGCTCCCACGGCACGGGGGCAGCGCTGTATGGCTGTGTAGAATTTTGCGGCAATGTGCAGGGAGCCAACGCGGTGACCGCGACCTTGGTTGGCGGCTTGGCGCGATGCGCACCGGCGGCGGCCGTAAGCGCGTGTACTTGGGAGAAACGGAAACTGATATCGGCAAAGGTGTGGCGTGTTGCTGCATGTAGAAAGGCCGTGCCACCGAGGGCAACTACTAGTCACCTTGGTGCTAGATGCAGCGACCGTTAGCCAATCGAGCAAAAGAACCAGTTTCTCCTTTAGGTGTCCGTGTCCCCATGAAAGCGGGAGCGGCTGCAGGTCACCTGGTAGTAGCGGGCGCTCGCTCGTCTGGTTCCGTATCGGCACCCTCGTTTCGTCTTCTCGCCGTCCTCCTCCTCTGCCTCGTCGGCGCGGAGCAGGCGGCCCCTGCTGCCGGTGCCGGAGAGAGGCGGGTGGACGTGGGGGTGATCTTGGACCGGACGACATGGCTGGGGAACATCAGCTGGGCGTGCATGGAGCTGGCCCTCGAGGACTTCTACGCCGACGCGAGCCACGCCAGCTACAGCACCAGGGTCAGGCTGCACCTCAGGGACACCCCGGCCGGGCCGAGGGCCGTCGACGCCGCGTCCGCAGGTACGTCGTCCTCGCGGTCCGCCTACTGCTGCTCATTTCGTTTCATTCATTCGTCGAGCCTACCTGCTGTGCGCTTATATTATTAAATTTCGGCCTCCGCACAAGACTAGCTTGCATAGTTTCGGAGTACGCTGCACTATGTATACACACACCCTGAGGTCTCATTTAGTTCAAAAACTTTTCTCAAAAAGTGCTATAGTAGTTATTACATCAAATTTTACGATACGTGCATGGAGCATTAAATATAGACTAAAAAAAACTAATTGTATAGTTTGGTTGGAAATTGCGAGACGAACGTTTTGTGCCTAATTAGTCCATGATTAAACATTAATTGCCAAATAAAAACAAAAATGCTATAATAGTCTATTTCTAAAATTTAGTCAACTAAACAAGGCCTTAATTTCGAGCTCGATCTTGCGCCGTAACTTGTTGGGCTTCACGGAAAGAGCTCACATTGTTGGATACTCCGTAGCTTGTAAGCGTCTTTGACAGCGCTGTCGTCGGAGACACCACTTCCCCAAGCTTGGCACTGCATCCCATTGTGGCTGTATATAGAGCCTGTTTGGTTCCTTACTAAAATTTAGCTAATAAAATTAATGACTAAATTTTAGTCACTCCTGTTTAGTTTTAGTCAAGTGACTAAAGACCATGAAAGCAGTTCAACAAAGATCAAACTACCCTTAATAAATACCCCAAATCAGGGTGGGGCCCAGTAATAATGAGGGACAGCTCTTGTCCACTGAGCACTTCCACTTTTAGTTACTCTTGGATAACTAACGTGATTAAGCTACTTTAGTTTTTTTAGTCAATTTGTTTGGTAGTTTAGTAGCTAAAGTGACTAAAGTTTAGTAGTTAAACTTTAGCATGGGAACAAAACAAACCCATAGTGTAAATTGCCGGTTGCGGGACAGGGCGGTGCAAGGGCAGCGCGTTAGAAACTCAGATGCTAGGAAGCCATCATCAGATACGTTAGCCGTTTCATAATAAAATTGTGCTCACTTAGTTCCAAATTATAAAACAATTTGACTATTAGATGCAGAGTTTTTCTATACATTTTGGACATATAATATATTCAGATACATAGTAAAAACAATATATTAAAAAACTAAAATATTTTATAATTTAGAACAAGAGAGTATTATACAATGCCACCTAATAAGATGTTTTATAATGTGGAGAAAAAGATGATGATGATGGTGTGTCTTTGTTTCCAAAGTATTTCAACCCATAAACTAAATTTTAGAACTCTTATACTACTTGGTGCATCATTATACGAGTTAATTGTGGGAGCATATGTATGAGGAAGGTTATTTTTTTGAGCTGTTATTATTGGCCCCGCTTCGCTGAAAAAACAAGCCGAAACATTGTTTCGGCTGATTTGTTGTGAGAGAAAAATACTGTTCCGACTAAAAAAATAAGCTGAAAAAGATGAACAGGGCCATTATTATTTTTGAGCAATGTTTTTTATTATTTTTTGAGGAAATAATATTAATAAGCTTATTAAAAGTCGCTCCCGAGAGCCGAGATCCCGACGCATGCTGGGCTCGGTCAGATTTCAGAAGGAAGAAATCTACTTTGTCTCCCTCAACTATCGCAAAAGTCAATCTTTCCTATCTGATCTAGAAAACCGGACATAACTCCTCCCCCATCTTTCCAAATAGGACATATGACCTACCTGGCTGTTTTTCTAAGTGTTTTTTCTCTCTCTTTTTTATATTTATTTCGGTTAAATCTTTGAAAAAATAATAGTAAATTACAGAAAATAATAAAATGTAAAATCCAATTTTATTGGACTCCTCATGAGTAGATTTACACAAAAAAACATATGATATGCTTTAGTACAAAAGTTTTGCTCTAGCTTTATATCCATGCTTTTCAATGATTAATTCATAGCTACATTTTATGTGGTCTTATTGTGGTAAAAATTTTATGGTGAACTAATCATTATATCTTTAAATGTAGTAAAAATTTTATGCTCATCGGATATGAATGAGTTATAGATTTATTAAGGTTTATGCTTATTAAATAGGTTTTAAATAGTTTATAGTGTGTAAAAATAGAAAAATATGTGTTCTCTGTGTAATTTTTTCTTTGACAACATGATTATATTAATATTACTATTGTTGTATCTTATGAACACTTAACATAGATATAACGAATATGTACTAAAGCATGCAATGATTAGCCCACCGTACATGATCTAATGAGCATGAAATTTTTACTATAGCCCAAGCACGCAATGATTAGCCCATCATAAAAATTATTATTGTTATATCTTATGAACACTTAACATAACCATATTGTCACAGAGAAAATTATACAGAGAACACATATTTTCTATTTATACACACTTTTAGCTATTTAAAAACTATTTAATAAGCATAGACCTGAATAAATCTATAACTCAGTCATACATGATCCAATGAACATGAAATTTTTACTACATCTCAAACATACAATGATTAGTCCACCATAAAATTTTTACCACAATAGGACTACAGAACTGCAGCTATGAATTAATCACAGAAAAACATAGATCTAAAGATAGATAAAAAATTTGGTACTAAAGAATACTATATTATATGTTTACTCTATAGATCTCCTCATGTGGAGTCCAACAAAATTAGATTTTCTATTTTATGATTTTTCTGTAATTTACTATGATTTTTCAAAGATTCACCCGAAATATATATAAAAGAAAAAGAGAAAAACCACTTAGAGAAACAGTTAGGTAGGTGATATGTCTGGTTTCAAAAGATGAGGGAGGTGTTATGTCCGGTTTTCTAGTAAGGAGAAAAAACTGACTTTTGTAATAGTTGAGAGATGCAAAATAGATTTTTTTTTCAACTACATCCGCGCGCGCAGTGTGGTGGTCGGCTCGACCCAAGCTAGGAAGGCCCAATGGCCAATGTGGTGTGTCAGGCGAGGGCCCGCCGTTAACTAAACCGCAGCCCAACGCCCCAACGCGACTGCCCAGCCCAGGGAATTCGAGCCCATAGCAACAGCCTGCCCACAACCCGCCGCCCCGCGGCTTCTCAGGTGCTGTTTGGTTGAGCTATGGCTGTGGGAGAAAGCTGCTGTGGGTTGTGAGTTGTGGAAAAGCTGCTGTGGGCTGTGAGCTGTAGAAAAGCTAAAAGCTGTTTGGTTAAACAAGTATAAAATATACCTTTTATCTTTATCTCTCTTGAAACAACTATGGAAGAGCTTTTTATTCCACCAATTTCGAAAAGTAGAAAGTCAAAAGCCAAAAACAGGGTTAAACCAGCTTTCAAAAATAAACTACGAAAAAGTAGCTGCTTCTGAAAAAGCACCCTCCAAATACAACCTCTTTGATTAGGGTTTTGGCTTTTGAGGCCAAAAGCCAAATCCAAAAGCCCAACTCAGTACTCACTTTTCGGCCGGCGGCCGGCGACGCTTACGGCGGCGGAGGGTACTCTGTCTCCCGCGCCGCCGGGGCACTAGCCGCACTACCGACCTGCTCCTGGCGCCCTCGTCGTTTCCTTTCTCTCGGCATAAGGAGAAGGTACCCCGCTACCCCACGACCGCATTTGGTGTTTGTAGTAGTACGCAAATTGGGGGTTTCCCATGGTTCTATCTATGGAGTGTGGACGCCTGAGAGTTACAATGCCCAATACATACATTCCATAAGGGACGTTGCTCATCCTAGCTTTCAGTTAGGATAAGCCCATATATGCGTTTAAACCTCGTTTCCCCCACCTGAAGTTTCCCTTTCGCATCCTAGTCTCAGAATCCCTGGATCTGCTGCAGGTTTCAAACTAATTTTGCATGTTCAGGTAGGATGAATGAATGCCACCGAACTTTTCAGTTTCATGAATCGTTATTCGCTGACATATGTTTGGGTCTTTGTGAAATACTGCAGGTGTTGATCTACTAAAAAATGTCCGTGTGCAAGCAATCGTCGGGCCACAGACATCTACTCAAGCTAAATTTCTTGCAGAGCTTGGGAACAAGGCATCAGTTCCAATCATTTCCTTTTCTGCAAATAGCCCGTCCCGATCATCCAGCCAGACCCCATACTTCATCAGGACAGCATGGAACGACTCCTGTCAAGCTGAAGCTATTGCCTCACTTGTCCAGAAATACAATTGGAGGGAAGTCATTCCTATCATCGAGGACGATGATTCCAACGCTAGATTCATCCCTGATCTCGTTGATGCCCTGAGACATGTCGATACTCGTGTTCAGTACAGGTGCAAGATCTGTCCTTCTGCTGGAGAAGATGAGATAAAGCGTGCTATATCAAGCTTAAAAGAAAATTGGACAAGCGTCTTTGTTGTGCGCATGTCATATCAGTTAGCCCTTAAGTTTTTCCAGCTTGCTAAGGATGAGGGAATGATGGGCCAGGGCTTTGTCTGGATTACAGCATATGGTTTGACTGATATCTTCAATGTGGTTGGTTATCCTGCACTTGATGTGATGGAAGGTGTTGTTGGGATCGAGCCTTATGTTCAAGAAACTGCGAAACTAAACAAATTTAGACAAAGATGGCGTGAGAAATATAGGTCGGAAAATCCTGGTACATCAATTAATGAGCCTATAACGTCTGGTCTATATGCATATGATACAGTATGGGCAATAGCATTAGCAGCAGAGAAGGCCGGATATGTTAATTCAGACTTTGTTCTGTCTGAAACAAACAATGGCTCCACTGATTTCGACAAACTGAGTACTTCTAGGGCTGCTGAAAATTTTTGCAATGTATTCTTGAAGGTTAATTTCACAGGCATTAGTGGGCAATTTGTCATTCAGGATATGCAGTTAGTATCAACAACTTACAAAATTATCAATGTAGCTGGTCGGGAGAGGAGAGCAGTTGGTTTTTGGACTCCAGGATTGAACATATCCAGAATTCCTATCGTATGGCCAGGAGGCAGTGAGAAGACACCTAGAGGATGGCTTTTGCCAGTGAATAAAGAACTCAAAATAGGAGTACCTGTGAAACCTGGGTTTAGGAGATTTATAAGATCTGAAAATGGTATCCCCAAGGGGTTCTGCATTGATGTATTTGAGGAAGTCATTGGTAAACTGCCCTACAAAGTTCCCAAGCATTATGTGGAGTTTGGAAATGGAAAAGGAGAAAGTAATGGAACTTATGATGAACTCGTCTACAAAGTTTATCTTAAGCTATGTATGGACCTATTTTTCTTGCATTTTATTCCTTGTTACAGTCAAACTGGAGGTGTTGAACTTGTAGTTAAATACTGGCCAGGTATGTGCATTTATTACATGATCAAAAGTGATCTGAACTTGGCAATTTGTTGTCCTTGTTGCTCTTCTTGAGTGCACAGAATTGGCAGCATGTGATTTGTCTACAGATTGTCCACCATGTTAATGTCTAAGGTAGCTTACGGATGGAAACCATTGCAAAAGGGGCGGATCCAGCATGTAACCATTGGTGTCGATTGACATCAATGAACCGTCGCTAATACGATTAAGCTTTTAATTTAGATAGCAAGTAGCACTTGTAATATGTAGTTGGCTTTCCTTTTTAATAGGAGTGACATCAGTGGCAACATTTTATTGTCCCCAAATGATTTGCAGTTTATTCTGTGCAAAATGGTTTATGTTTTTCCAAAGTATATCAACCAGTTTTATGTTAATTGCTGGCAGGAATTTGATGCGGTAGTAGGTGACATAACAATTTTGGCCAACCGTTCTCTATATGTGGACTACACTCTTCCTTATACTGAGTCAGGGGTACGCTTGCTGGTTCCAGTTCGGGACCGGAGACAGAAGACTGCATGGACATTCCTAGAACCATTGACAGCTGATCTATGGTTAGGAGCTGGAGCCTTCGTTGTCTTCACAGGTTTTATAGTTTGGTTTATCGAGCACAGAACGAATCAGGAATTCAGAGGACCGCCAGCCAGTCAAATTGGATCAGTCTTCTACTTCTCCTTCTCAACACTTGTATTTGCTCATAGGGAGAGGATTGTGAACAATTTATCAAGAATTGCAGTAGTTGTTTGGCTTTTTGTGGTGCTAATATTGCAGCAGAGTTATACTGCAAGCTTAAGCTCAATTCTCACGGTAGAACAGCTTCAACCAACAGTCACCAATATAGATGAAGTTATCAGACGAGGGGATTATGTTGGCTACCTCAATGATTCTTTCATGCCTGAGCTTTTGAAAAGGTTGAAAATTAATGAAACAAAAATGATCGCCTTCAGCTCTCCTGAGGAGTACAATGACGCCCTATCAACTAGAAAAGTTGCCGTCATTGTTGATGAAATACCGTACCTCAAAATGTTTCTCTCAAAGTATTGCCACAAGTACACTATGGTTGGGCCAACTTACAAATTCGATGGATTTGGTTATGTAAGTGACCTTTTTTTACTTCTCCGCAGTTGTCTGTTTTCAGTACAGCTTAGTGATGAATCAAATCGCATCTACTTTGTTGCAGAACTCTGCTATTGTACTAGATCATAGTTTCTAAAATCTGATGCCATGAGAGCAATTTTTGGTATTCGAGAAAAAAAGAGAGCAATTTTTGACAAAGATTGAAGTTTATTGTTGTCTGGGATTCCTAAATCTTCCAGATATAAAAATGGCAAAGGATGAGATGAATGATCAGATTTGTCTTCTTGTGGAAATGAAACTCAACAAGCATATACTTTCTGGAAATGTGGTGCCATGTTATTGGCTTCCAGTTGGGGGGTGGGAGGGGCATAAAAGGCTTACATTACATGTTTCTAGAAGTATTAAATAGCACAAACAAATTTACTTTACCAGATTCTCATGCAGTTTTCTTGTAATTGTGTGGTGCTAGTTCAGTATGTTTTCAATTAGATTGCTAACCACTTAATGTCAAAATTATGATCAATTTTTTCAATTAGATTGCTAACCACTTAATGTGAAAATTATGATCAATTTAATTGTCCTCACCATTATACAGGGTTTGTGCAAGTGGTTGATATAACTGGCCCACTGTTACATTGGGCCTTTATAAATGATTAATAACTTACATGGCGTTTTATAGCATTTGTATATTAATTATTGGCATGTTTTACGATTCTCATCTCTGTTCTATTCCTGCAGGCGTTCCCTCGAGGCTCTCCACTTACACCTGAAATTTCAAGGGGAATACTGGAACTAGCATCAAATGGCACAATGGATGAACTGGAGAAACAGTTGTATGGTGATACATCGTACCCAGACAAAGATGACTCCCAAACTTCAAGCAGCCTTACGTTGCATAGCTTTCTTGGGTTGTTCATCATCACTGGGACAACTTCATTACTGGCACTGATTTTGCATGTCACTATAACCCTTTATGATCATCGGAGTCATTGGATCAATGGCAGCGGTCAGATATCATGGCATGAATTGCTTGCTATTCTCTTCAAGATTTTTCATGAGCGTGATAATAGCTCTAATACTCCGGATGAAGAGGAGCCTGGAATGGAAGATATAGATCCTCCTACAGCTGAGAGTCCATGGAGCATGTCTAATCACATCATCGAGAATGTTGATTCAGACACTGATACGGGAAGCACACCAGAAGGAGAAGGAACTCCGGGCAGGGAAGTTTCAAATCAGGATCCTGGTCCACCATCATTTGCATACATGCATTCTGAGGGGGCAATGGAGTAACTAGCATTCTTTTATCTCGCACCGGAGCACCAAGAACTCTATTGTCATATCACATACAGTTCAGTGAAATTGATTTAGATGTATCGTCTGCCTCTAGTTTCATGTTTAATACAAGTGTGTTAACATGTACTGCTGGTTGTCATGGCTAGTTAACTAGAAAATTTAACATAGTAAAATCTTTGTTGAAAGAGGTGCCTGTGCATCTTATAGAAGTGTGGCTCTGAAATGGACAGCAAATTTGTCTGACAGCAAATTTGTCTGTGTTTTTTTTCTTATCTCCTAATACTCACCAGATTCCTAAAAACTTGCAATTGCTAAGTACCACTGTACTGTTGTGGTTTCCAAGTGAACATTATCTGAACATAAAATTCATTACCCGTAGACTGTCCAGTTTATTAGTCACTCTTGAGCAATTGATCAAATACTGTCACTGAGTCAAAGCTTTGTTGATGGTTACTAAGATACATCGATATACAAACGCCTAACCAAAGAAAAGATAGCATTTCATACACAAGTGTCACCAGGCAGTGCAGAACTGCATAATACTAAGTTGATGTTCCAATCCTGAATTTCTGTAGGAGATTAGTGTATGTCCCTAGCCAGCAGATTCATATGGACCGCTCCAAAATTGACAAACAAACACATATCAAGAGATTCCAAATCTTCAGAAAAGAAAACAGACCGAACGATGCACCAGATATATCATATATATGTTCAGAGTTGAGACTAAAACTATCTACTCAGTATGATATCACACGTCCACAACTAAAACTTCATCAATCTAGATATATATATCTTACACGTGCTAGATAGTAGTGCATGTCTGCAAAGTTTCTAGCACTGGTTGTACCCTTGCGCGTAGTCATGGAACACTGAATCCACTCCAGGAGTGGAGCAGCAGGAGCTCCAAGAACCAACGCTGCCGTTCGCCGTCTCATGATGATCCATTATTGCTCTGAAGCAGTGGTCTATGCCGTCTACCGCCACCTCGTCGCCGATGTGGTGGCCGTTGTTCTCCCCGAAGCACTGAATCTGCCGGAGCAACATGTCGATCTCATCGTCCATGCTACTCCCAAACGTCGCGGAGGCAGAGCTTGCTGTCGGCGTCGAGCTCGAGCTCTCCACGCCTACTGCCGTCATGGTCTCTCCGGTGCTAGTCGAGAGCGGCGGCGGTGTGCAGGTGCCATGCATGTTCTGTTGCACTCCAGCGCCTGTGTAGCCGAAACTGCCTGGCATGTGAGTCCAGAGCCCGGCGGAGTAACCAGTGGAAGTAGCACCGGCCGGTGGCTGCCGCGGCAGAATCTCTGAGGTCTCACTCGCGGCCGGCGAAGGAGAAGGCGAGGGAGACAGGCTCGGCCACAGCGGCGCACCGAGGCTGCCGTAGTTGTACAAGGTGAAGGCCGCCGCCGTCGGGTTGTCGAGGCGAGCCTGGTGGCGCCGGTGCAGGCGCATGCTCACCTGCATCCTCTCGAGCGCCGACGAGGCGAAGGAGTTGTGGTGCTGCCAGGTCGGGCTCGTGAGGAGCTGGAGGCGCGCCTCTGCCCTCGGCCGCCGGCCGCCACCGAGCAGGCGGCGCTTGAGCTTGGTGTTCCAGTGGTTCTTGACGTCGTTGTCCGTCCTCCCCGGCAGCTGCGCGGCGATCGTTGCCCACCTGCAGCCGAACAACCAAGACATATCACATATGATCAATGGTTATTATCAATAATCCCTCGGCATCGGCAAGCTGGGCTGCTGATTATTGACCTGCTAACTCTTTGAGTTGCAGTGGTTGAAAAGGTGCTTGAATTGAACGCGCTGAATATTAGCTACTGATGAACTGTACGACGCGTATGCTCACCTGCTCCCGATGCTGATGTAGAGGCTGCAGATCAGCCTGTCCTCCTCCTCCGTGAAGCCGCCGTGCCTGATGTTGGGCCGGAGGTAGTTGAGCCACCGCAGCCGGCAGCTCTTGCCGCACCTGTTCAACCCTACAATAAATGAGCAAAAGGCAACGACGCCGTTCAGCGTTCATGTCATGCACGAGCGATAAATCGAGTTCGCTGCAGGCAGCAGCTAATAATGCTATGCAGATGACACAGCTAACTACTGCTCCTACCGATCTTGTGGGGGAGCTGTATCCAGTTGCCGCCGGCGCCGTGCTCGTCGATGTAGGCCTTGAGCACGGCGTCCTCCTCCGGCGCCCACGGCCCCTTCTTCACCGTCGCCTTGTCGCAGCACGGCGCCCTGCCCATCTCCCTCTCTCTTTGCTAGCTGCTCGATTGTGCCGCGCGGCGGTGAAGTCGATCGGCAGATCGAGCTCTCTCTCTCTCTCTCTCTCTCGAGTGGCTTGGAAATGGCGTTACGGCGGCGCAGCAGGCACGCTCTCTCTAGGTCTCTAGGAGGCGTGGCTGACAGGCTGAGCCTTGTGGCCAGGGATAGCTGGATGTTTTATTTATATAGGAAGGGAAACATTACTTTTATTTCCTCTCACAGTAGAAAACAGTCCATCAGTACGACATCTATATTACTTTTACTTATCTTTTTGTATCAATTAGCCTATTAAAGGAGTCGGTATATAGTTGCTATAGTTTTTGCCGTGAAGTATAATACTACTGTAAGACGTGATCAATATTTATAATAATACTATTGTATGGACCACATGCGTCTACTTAAGATTGTATTAGTTGCATTACTATCTGACTCGTTATAAGACGTCTCTTGGAGATTTTAATTTCAAATGATTGGAGCCAGTTGCTGCATGATGCTAGGTGGATACTTTACCGCCTCGGCTTAGTCTTTCTTCTAGACAACCTTTGTATTGATTCTTTTTATTATAGGCTCAGTTGTAGGTCTTGGATGTTGAGGGTAGTTATTCTTTCTTCGATCTTTTTTCTTGTTATTATGTTTATATTCTAAGTCATTTATCATTAGCTTGGTGGTTTATAATCTGTGCTATGAAGATTCTTTCGTAGCTGTGTTGTGTAAATCACTTCTCTTAATAAAAAACGGACTATATTTGTAATACCCTAACATTTGCTTTTCTTCAAAAAGAGTTAAATTCATCTAATTATGTATTTTTGTGTACATTTAAATCTAGAGAAAATAATAATTTTTATTGTAATTAAAATTCATTATAGGTTTAGCAACATGGTTGTGCATTCATGCTGCTGTATATTATTTTGTATTGAGTGATTGGTTTCAAAATTTCAAAATAGGATTTAAAATACGTTTGAAAATGGTTTGGAAATAAAAAATAATAATAATAATAATAACTCTCCTCTCTCACATCTGGCCCGAAGGCCCAATCCCCTCTCTCAGTTGGCCTACCCTTCTCTCTCTCTCTCTCGGCCCAACTGCTGCCCCGCAACCCACTTCCCTCCGCAGCCAGCCTGGCCTGCTTCGCCTTTTCCCCTCCCTCTTGGGCCCATAGCCACAAGGCCTCCCCAGCCCCAGCCGTAGGCGCCCTTCCCGCTCGCTCTCTCTGCCAGATCGGCCCCACACCCCAGTTGTCGACCGCTAGAGCCACGCTGTCAGCCTCTCTTCCTCCTATCTTCTCCGCCGTAACCGAGCTGGATTCCCTCTCGTCGATGGAAATCGCTGCCGAACACCGATGTCTCCGGGATTCGGCGTTATCTCCAACCCCTACGCCCTATATAAGCCGGCCTCTGTGTGCGCGTCGCCCCTAGCTAACCCTAGCGCAGCCACCCTAGCCTTAGCTTCACGCCGCCTCTGTCGTCCCTGAGCATCTACCGAGCTCTGTGTCGTGGTGAGGAAGCCGTAGGTACCGGCTGAGCTCCGTGTCGTGTATATGATGAATAAGGTGTTAATGGAGTATCTCGATAGGTTTGTTGTGGTCTTCCTTGACGATATTCTGGTCTTCTCCAAAACAGAGGCAGAACATGAAGAGCATTTAAGATTAGTTCTGCAAAAACTTAGAGAACATCAACTATATGCTAAACTAAGCAAGTGCGAGTTCTGGTTGAAGGAAGTCTCTTTTCTTGGGCATGTTATCTCTAATGGTGGAGTAGCTATGGATCCTAAGAAGGTTAGTGATGTGTTGAGTTGGAATCCGCCTCAGGATGTAAGTGAAGTCCGGAGTTTCCTAGGAATGGCCGGATATTATCGGAGGTTCATTGAAGGTTTTTCTAAGATTACCAAGCCTATGACATCGCTACTTAAGAAGAATGTTAAGTTTGTATGGACTGAGCAATGCCAAGCTAGTTTTGAAGAGTTGAAGAAAAGGTTGACTACAGCTCCAGTGCTGGTACTAGCAGATCTAAACAAGAGTTTCTCCATCTACTGTGATGCATCTCGACTTGGTTTGGGTTGTGTTCTTATGCAAGAAGGACGAGTAGTGGCTTATGCGTCCAGACAACTAAGGAAGCATGAACTAAATTATCCCACCCATGATTTGGAGTTAGCAGCTGTGGTTCATGCATTGAAGATTTGGAGACATTATCTTGTTGGGCATAAGTGTGACATCTATACAGACCATAAGAGTTTGAAGAATATCTTCACTCAGTCAGAGTTGAACCTGAGGCAATGACGTTGGTTAGAGCTAATCAAGGACTATGATCTAGAGGTACACTATCACCCTAGCAAGGCAAATGTTGTAGCTGATGCTCTGAGCCAAAGGAGCTATGTTAATGCAGCTCTAGTGACGCAGATTATCTAAGGAGTTATGTCTTTGAATTCGAGCATCTTAATTTGGGAATAGTTGTTAATGCTATGAAATTGGAAGTGGAACCTACGCTTGAACAAGAGATCTGCAAGGGTCAATTGGAAGACGAGAAAATCAAGGAGATAGAAGAACTTATCACAATTGGCAAAGCACCGGGTTTTTGATTGGATGATCAGGGAGTAGTGTGGTTCGGAAAGAGAATATGTGTGCTAGAGATAAAGTCCATTCGAGAGATGATTCTGAGAGAAGCTCATGACTCAGCATACTCTATCCATCCAGGTAGTATTAAGATGTACCTAGATCTGAAGGAGAAGTACTAGTGGTGTGGTTTGAAAAGAGA